ATGCTCGCCACCTCGTCTTCTGATTACTGCTATGGGAATTTTCGCAACTCTAAAATTCAAAGAAATAAGGTGAAAAGCCTGATTTTCAGGAGGCGACGGGATTTTGAGAGTAATTTGCTCGACCGAGCCGTTAAAAATTCGAAATTGCTCTACAGCTATTTGCGGAAAAGCACACGTAACAGGAATCCCATTCCTGTTATGAGGGGTGATGACGGCTTGGAGATATCGGACAGTACAAATAAGGCTGAGCACTTTTCTCAATTTTTCCAATCCGTTTTCACAAGAGAAGCGGACTTTACCCCATCTAATTCTGAGAACATGAAAGATCCCACTATCGAAAATATTGTGTTTCGAGAAGAAGCGATTTTGGAGGAACTGAAAAGCTTGAAGGAATGTAAATCTCCCGGTCCGGACGAGATTCCAGCAAAGCTGCTCTTTGAGCTTGCCCAACAGCTGGCCAAGCCACTAACCTTTCTGTGCCAAAAATCGTTTGGTGCTGGAATTCTTCCCACGGACTGGAAGACGGCCCACATTACACCCCTTTACAAAAGCGGTAGTCGTGCTCAGGCGACAAACTACAGACCCGTCAGTCTGACATCAATCTGCTGCAAAGTGATGGAGAAAACAATCACAAAGGAGTTGATGGCTTACTTGGAAACCCACAACCTCTTGTCCAATACACAATATGGTTTCCGTAAGGGAAGATCATGTGTTACGAACTTGCTATACACAATGCAAAGTTGGACACGAGCACTGGACGCAAAACACACCGTGCATGTTGCCTATATTGATTTTCGGAAGGCGTTTGACAGTGTTCCGCACCAGCGTCTCCTACACAAGCTGAGAATTATGGGCATCAGTGGCAAACTTCTCAAATGGATCGAAAAGTTCCTTGTCGGCCGCTCCCAAATTGTCTGCGTAGAACAACAGCAAGCAAGGTGCACATTCATAGAGAGTGGGATCCCACAAGGCTCGGTGCTCGGACCAACTCTCTTTCTCTTGTTCATCAATGATTGCGTAGATGGGTTGGACTGTGATTGTGCCATGTTTGCGGATGACATAAAAATCTGGAAAGTTATCCAGAATGCTGCCGATGAGACCAACTTCCAAGAAAATCTTTGTCGGTTGGACGAGTGGTCCCGCAGATGGCTCTTGTCCTTCAATTTGAACAAATGCACCATTCTGCGCCTCGGAAATCAGAGCCCTAAAACGCGCCAATACCATCTGAACGGAATGCCACTCCGAGAAGCAGAAACTCAGAAAGATCTCGGAGTTTGTGTTGCAGACAGCCTAAAGCCTTCTACACAATGCTGTAAGGCGGCCAAGGCCGCAACCTCAATGCTATATGCCATCAAGCGGGCATTCGTAGTTTTCGATGAAGACTGCTTCACCAAAGTCTTCGGCACGTTTATAAGGCCCCATCTCGAATATGCAATTCACGCCTGGAGACCGTGGACGCACCAGGATTACGATCTGCTCGAAAGGGTGCAGAGGCGAGCCACAAAATTAGTAAGAGGTCAAAATGTACTGCCATACGAGATCCGCTTAACTAACCTTAATCTCTATCCTCTGAGTTATAGGCAGTTGCGCGGAGACATGATACAAACTTTCCGTATCGTGCGCGGCTTGGATTGTGCCCTTCGGTGCGATGACTTTTTCCAACTCGCCACTACAACTCATCTCCGGGGACATCCCTTCAAGCTACGTGTGCCACAGGGTAGACTGAATGTGAGAAAATATTTCTTCTCCAACCGTGTCGTGGAACAGTGGAATAACCTGTCCGAGACGGTTGTTATGTCTGAATCTGTGGCGACATTTAAATGTCGCCTTGACAGATATATGCTGCAGCAACAAGCGGACTATGTGACTTTTTAACCATGTGACTAGTGACATATGTGAATCAATGTATGCACTCACTTAATGCTGTAATTTCTTCGCATTTTTGCTTGTTTATCGATTTTTTATGTACAAATAGTGAGTTCAAAGGCGTAAGCCTATTTCCCTCAAATACACTGACTGACTGACTGACAAGCCTTGCACGTCCCAGCAGCGTATCCACAAGAAGTGTGAGGCGGACAGAAAGGCATCGTGGAAAAGGCAGAGGGGAAGGAGACGCGAACTGCCACAGTTACTGTGCCGAGGCGCCAGACCACCTTGCCTTTCCCTACCTGTTCCTCATTCTTGAACTTACTGGTTGTTTAGCTGAATGGAAGGAACACAACACAACGCGACGCGCTCGGCATCTGTTGGATTGTCAGGTCGTTTGACTTTTGATTGTTAATTCTTTCATAACTGTGGCCATATTATGATATCCATAGTCTGAAATCGACAGTTCTGTCCTTAGCGCTCGCAACAGTGGTGACCCTTCGACGTTCGCGCATGTGCCTTTAATCTGTTGACTTTCTATTTGCATACAGCCCGTTTGCTTTCATTATTTCTACCATCATGACCTCTACCAATTTCAAAGATGTCACTAGTTCCCTCAGTGGACTTTTTTCTTCTCTTCCAGACCTTTGGCAACCAGCGCCAAAACTTCATTTTCTCCGTATCGTGGCGACATTTCACTCCGCCAAGATAACGCGAGAAACAGACAAATATTATAATTTGGTCGAGGCCCTTCTCCCGATCATTCTTTCCACAGTCCCGAATTTTTTGCGAGATCCCCCGACTGATGCTCCCTACATAAAGTTAAAGACTGAACTCCTTCGCCTGACATCAGTCTGGGATCGGCAGCGTTATCACGCACTGGTAAATGAGGAGGCCTTGGATGACCGTAAGCCGTCGGAACTCCTGCGTCGCATGTGCCCTCTCACAGAGAACATGGCCATCGACGGCAAGTTCTTTAAAGAGATGTTCTTAGAACGTCTGCCGACGTTGGTACAAACAGTCTTGGCCTCTGGCTCCGACGGCCTAGACAAATAAAAGCTAGTGGAAATGGCCGACCGAATGATGGAGGTTGAGCGTTTGTCATCCCCGACGATTGCTCAGGTCTCCCAGCCTCTCACTGTGTCCACCTCTTACCGGGCTGAACTAAAGACACATATTGCCCAGTTGTCGGCGATTGTTGCCGCTTTGCAGCTGCGCCGATCTGCCGGTCCCTCTCGACGTTCCTTCGGCCGTGACCGTCGTCGTCCCCGCTCTCGCCCAAGGACCGTCAACCTATGTTGGTATCATGTCAACTATGGCGATAAGGCGCGACGCTGCAGCCCACCCTGCTCCTTCAAGTCCACGCAGGAAAACTCCTCGGCAGGAGAGTAAATGCGGCCGAGCTCTCTGGCAGCTCTACGGGTCGCACCTCTTACATCAGTGATAACACGAGTGGCGGGCATTTTTAGTCAACACTGGCACTCAAATTAGTGTTATCCCTCCCACCCCAGCCGACCGACGTTGCCCAAACTGTGGTCTTTTCCCTCAAGCCATAAACTCATCCCCCACTACAACCCTTGGATTTCGATCCCTCTCCCTGGATATTGGTCTCCGGCGATTATTCCCCTGGATATTTTTGGTGGCTGATGTTCCCACCGTCATCCTTGGTGGCCGTCATCCTTTTGGCCGCCTTCGACCTTTTGGTTGACTGCAGGCAATTTCAACTGCTTGATCGCCCAACCACCCTCACCGTCAAAGGATTTTCTCCATCCTCAGTTTCTAACCATCTCTCCGTCCTTGACCCAAGCCCTGACTGTCCATTTCGTAGACTTTTAGCAAAGTATCCTACTCCCGCTGTACCCCATTTTCAATTCAATTCAATTCAATTATTTTATTAAAGACCCGTCGGGGTCCCATCAACGCAAGTAAAAATAAATTTAGACGATGTAGACAAAATCTGCACAAAGTGCAATGCATAGTTTTTGAGATTAGAAGTCCGTTAAGCAAAATGAAAATGAAAAAAAATCGAGGGGTGAAAAAAAAACTCCAAAGTAATATTTAAAAATGATTGTAGAAATTTAACAGGAGAAAAAAAAAACCCTCAGAAAAATAGCATCAGAAAAAAACAGGGAGGACTGGCCTGCATGTGGCGGTACAAAATGGAATATAGTCCGACATCAACATGGCCGAAATAAATGTCAGCTGTATATGGCATTGCGTAACGGATTTCATAAAATGGTACGTAGGCGGGTCGGTCAGGACTGGCCTGTATCGCCTTGAATAAGAAAAATAAGTGCCGAAATTGAAAACCAGTCTCAAGCCGATAGGAACCCAGATGCGGTCAGTTTCATTCAACCGAGTCCATCCGAGCATGGGGGGAGATGCGACCAGACTACTAGTATATGGCGAATATAGAAGGCTTTGTCAAGACCGCCGATGGAGCGCATTCTGTAAGGGCACGATGACAACCAGTCTCGAGGCGACAAGAACCCAGATGCGGTCTGTTACATTCATCAGAGTCCATCAGAGGATATGGCGAAGGAGATGCGACCAGGTTACTAGTATATGGCGAATATAGAAGGCTTCACCAAGAGCATCGATGGAGCGCATTCAGTGAGGGCATCATGAAGATCAGTCCCGAGGCTATAGGAACACAGATGCGGTCGGTTTCATTCAACCGAGTCCATCCGAACATGGGGGAAGGGAGATGCGACCAGACTACTAGTATATGGCGAATATAGAAGGCTTTGTCAAGACCACCGATGGAGCGCATTCAGTAATGGCACAATGACAACCAGTCTCGAGGCGATAGGAACCCAGATGCGGTCGGTTACATTCATCCGAGTCCAACCGAGGATGGGGGAAGGGAGATGCGACCAAACTACTAGTATATGGCGAATACAGAAGGTTTCGCCAAGAGCGTCGATGGCGCGCATTCTGTGAGGGCACGATGCATGAACTAAAAAATTGGAATAATTAACATTTCTGGTGAGGGATCTCAGGTAACGAGACTACTCATAAAGGAAGGAAACGTGAACAGATACGGAAATTTAAATGCGGCATGCTAAATTCCCGGTGGCCCTTTCTCAGTGTCATAGAAAAAGTTGTCTGGGAAGGATGAGGAAAATAAAAGTTTAATCGAGTCAGTATTCAGATAAAGGCGTAGCCTTCTCTTAAATGTGTGTAGATTGTCTAAAGATCTTATATTTATTGGAAGGTTATTCCAGAGGAAAGTATATCTGGAAGCGAAAAAAGGGAGCGCTTAGAGGTGGAGGACACTGGAAGAGGTATAATTAGAGACGAGTTGCGAAAATTGTATGGGCGACTACTAGGGGTAAGTGTTGAAATTCGAGGAAAATTTGAACTATGATTAATGCGAAAGAGGAGACAGAGGCCCGCTTCTAGTCTTCGAACCCATAAAAATGTTAGGTTAATTAGCTGACATCTATCTGAGTAGGAGATATTGGGATGTTCCCTATCCAAAAGTTTTTTTGAAAAACGTCTTTGGACATTTTCAATTTTTAAACGACTGGCTTCATTCATCAAACCAAAGAATGGGCAACAATACTCGAGAATTGGAAGTACAAACATACGATAGAGCCTTAATTTAATTTCAGGAAGATAGAAATTGTAAGAAATAAAGCCGCAAATCTGGGCAGCTTTGGCTGTAATTCTGTCAGCGTGCGGCGAGAGATCAAGATTACTAGTGTAGCTTAAACCTAAACCCTTGATGAAGGTACATTCAATCATAGATGTTCCTTGAAAGACCACCGGTTGGGGTAGCCTATCAGGTCCAAAACACATATAACGACATTTAGATGGAGAGAATTCCATTAGCCATTTTGAGCTCCAAGCTGAGAGAGCAAGCAAGTCAGCATGGATTTGCTCTAGGCAATGAAGACTCGTAGATTTATTGAAAGCATATACACATTTGAGATCATCGGCATAAATAAATGATTGAGAATGTTTAACTGCTGCTGAAATATCATTTATGTAAAGCAAGAACAAAAGAGGACCTAAAACGGTACCTTGTAGGACACCGCTCACAATAGGACTTTCACTGGAAAGTGAAGATCCCACCAACACCTTTTGTTTACGATTAGACAGGTATGACCTGAGAAAGTCTATTAGTGGACTGCGAATTCCCATAGCTTCCAATTTAACCAAGAGTCTTTTATGTGGCACTTTATCAAAGGCTTTACTAAGATCAAAATAAATTACGACAACAGATAGGTGATCATTACGAAGAGAGGTAAGTAGATCAAGAAACGACAGATGACATGTTTCACAAGAGCGATCTGGTAAAAAACCATGCTGGGAAGGGCTAATAACTTGATTGGCTATGCAAAATTCGGTAAATTTTATGGCGATAATTTTTTCGAAGATTTTGGCGAGAGAGGGTGTTTTATGGACACCTCGATAGTTCTGTACGTCAGAACGACAGCCAGACTTAAATACTGGAATAATAATAGAAGTTTTCCAATATTCAGGGAAGAAGCCATTTACGAGAAATACTGAAAAGATTTTGCTAAGCAGAGGAGGAAAATCTCTTAGCTGTTTTATCAAAGAGTTTGGGATATTGTCCGTACCTACTGAGTGAGAGTTAGGAAGATGGCTTATCAGTTTTTGAATACATTCAGGAGAAAAATTAATGAAGCTCAGAGAAGCACCAGACAACGAAGGAATTAAAGGGATCGGATCAGTTTCAATGGTGAAATGCTTGGCAAAGAACGAATTTAAAATTTCTGCTTTGCCTGACTCCTCTGTAATGAAGGCATCACTTGTACTAAGCAAGGGCGGAATGACTTGGTGGGACTTAGCAGATGATCTCTGACGGAAGATCTGAGCAACTGATTTATAAGAATTCACGTCATTAATAGCGTAAGACTCTCTACGCCTATCTCGCTCGAGCCTCATTTTCGAAGCTAGTTCAAATATTTCAACGATTCTTAGATGAACTGATAATGAGCTCACAGAAGGATCTTTAAACTGCTTCCGTAACTTTTTAAGTCTGTTTTTAAGAAAGTGTGGGATAGCGGTGGAATTAGCACTCGGTTTGAACATCTTCCGAGGAATAAGGTCAAGAAGACCTTCTGTTACGCATTGTAATAAATTGTTGAAAAAATTTAGATCATTATTTGTAAAAGTATTGTGCCAATCAAGAGTGCATGTAAAGTTATTTACTAAATCCTTATTAACATTAGCAAAGTCAAAAATACTACGTTGAACTGTTGGCTTTGCGGAAATGGCAACTGGAAGGCGACAATGAATTAATGCATGATCACTTGCAAAGAGGTCATGATAAAAATTCATAGATAAAGGGAAGGAGCCATTAGTAAAAATTAAGTCTAAAACACTATCGTTTCTGGTCGAAGAGTGAACTAATTGAGTCAGGTTTGAAAAGTAAATTGTGTCAAGCAGCTTCTGGAATTTAGGAGGAGAAGTATGTGTGTGCCAGTCAATTTCTGGCAAATTAAAATCGCCTACGATTATCTTCACATCGAAAGAAGTTTCTGCAATTTTTTCAAAGAGTTCACAAAGTTGGCTTTCATTTTCCTGACACCCTATTGCCCCAGGATATTGTTCATCACATAAAAGCGACTGTTCCTCAAATTTTCTTTCGTCCTCTCCGTCTTGCTCACGCGCGTCTTGCGGCTACTAAAGCTGCATTTGACCCCATGCTGCAACGTGGGATTATTCGACAGTCTGATGGTCCCTGGGCATCTCCTTTGCACATGGTTCCTAAACCAAATACTGATGATTGGCGTCCTTGTGGCGATTACAGAGACCTAAACAATATCTCTATGTCCGATCAGTATCCGTTTCCGCACCTTCTGAACTTTTCCAGAGCTCTCTATGTGGCACAACCGTTTTCTCGAAGATCAATTTGGCCTGGGCTTTTCATCAAATTCCGATTGCGACTGCGGACATTTCCAAAAACGGCAATGACGACTCCATTTGAGTTGCTTGACTTCCTTCGTATGGAAGTTGGTCTCCGAAATGCCTCACAGACTTTCCACCGTTTCATTTGCTGTGTTTTACGTGCCTTATATTTGTTTATGCGTATATTGATGATGTCCTCGTCGCCAGTCGTGATGTCGAGGAATATCTCTAATACCTTACCCTTCTTTTCGACCGATTTCAGCATTTTGGCGTCACCGTGCATCCTGCCAAATGTGTCCTAGGAGCCACTTCTCTTGAGTTCTTAGGTCACCTGATAGACTCAAACGGCATTCGGTCTCTTCCCTCAAAGGTTGCCTCCATTCCGGACTTTTCACTCCTACTTAAAAGCGTCAGTTGCAATGTTTCCCTGGTATGATGCACTTTTATCGCCGGTTTCTCCCGAACTGTGCCGATACAATCCTACCTGTGACCAGTCTCCTCTCAGGTTCTAAGCGCACCTTTGAACTTACACCAGCAGCACTCACGTCATTTGAGCAGGTAAAAGCACTTCTGGCTGATGCCACCCTCATGACTCGCTTCCATGCGGATCCACCCATATCTGTGATGGTCAATGCCTCCGATCTTGCTGTTGGCGCGGTTCTTCAACAAAGTCTGCCAGATTCTACCGCCCCTTTGGCTTTCTTATCCAGGAAACTATCCAAGGCCGAAACCCGCTACAGCACATTCGGACGTGAACGTCTCGCCGCTTATCTTGCCGTAAGGCACTTCCGGCATTTACTGGAAGGTCGAGAGTTCACAATTTTCACTGATCATAAGCCACTCACCTTTTCTTTTCGTTCCCACTCTGACAAGCTAAGCCCCCGGGAGATCCGACACCTGAACTACATTTCGCAGTTAACTTCAGACATCCACCATAATGACGGGTCACGGAATGAGGCGGCTGACGCACTCTCCAGACCCTCTATTTCTCATCTTCAGCTTTCACCCGGGATAGACCTCGCTGAAATGGCCGCTGAACAACGCCGTGTCGGTCCGCCCTGTGATGAGGATGTTTCCGGACTCCATTTTCAGGAGCTACCACTGACAACTGGCAACGGCACTATTCTATGCGACGTATCCACCCCATCCCATCGTCCATTTGTGCCACCATCTCTCCGCCGCAAAGTTTCCTCCTCCCTGCACAGTCTGTCTCATCCCGGGAGCCCAGCAACCGACAAGCTGGTTTCCGACCGCTTCGTCTGGCCTGGGATGCAAGAGGACCTGAATGCATGGACACTGGTGTTTCTCGGCTGTAAACGGAATAAGGTCCAACGGCACAACAAAGCTCCCATTGGCATCTTCCCTACTGCGGACTGACGGTTCAGTCATGTCCACCTGGACAGCGTAGGCTCCTGCCTCTGTACAATGGCTGTTTCTATCTCCTTACCTGCGTGGATCGATTCACCCGGTGGCCGGAAGATATTCCCTTGCTTGATGTCGCTGTTTCAACGGTCGTCAAAGCTTTCCTCGGTCGTTGGGTTGCCATTTTCGGTGCTCCCTCTACTGTCACGACTTACCGCGGTGCCCAAATTGAATCCGACCTCTTCCAGTGTCTTCTCTCCTTTTTAGGCTTTACTAGCATCCGCACTACAGCCTATCATCTGACAGCTAACGGGATGGTCGAGTGGTTTCACCGCCATCTGAAGGCCTCCCTACGCTCCGCGGCCGATCCGCAGAACTGGATGGACCACATTCCCCTAGTCCTCTTGGGCATCCGCTCCGCTCTCAAGCCGGACATTGACTGTTCCGCAGCTGAACTGGTGTTTGGCACCACCGTCCGACTCCCCGGTGAGATGGTCTCGCCAACCCCGTGAGGTGCAGTTGAGGATTCCACCAACCTCGAGCATCACCTCCGGCAGTTTATGCGGACACTTCCTCCGGTTCTGCCCAGCTCCTCCGCCTCTCCGTCTTATCTCGCGAAGGACTTGGCAACGTGCTCTCACGTCCACGTTCGATGTGATCGAGTCCACCGGCCTCTGGAACTGCCCTATGACGGCCCATTCCGGGTGTTCTCTCGCAGGTCGAAGACTTTTCTCATTCAACGTGACAATCGTGAAGAGGTCGTGAGTGTGGACCGCCTCAAGGCTGTCCTCCCAGACACTCCTCCGGATGAGCCCTGTGGTACTCTACCTTCTGCGCATAAGTCGACGCCTATCGAAAGGCAAAAGTTTCTCATCGTCGGGCCGATCGGAATGCGTCGCGCCCAAACGAACTGCCGATACAAGCAAAGATGCGAGTTCCAGGAACTAGTTAATCATAAGAAGAAGCGATCGCTGGAACAAGGACTTTATTCGCCTGACGTTTGGATTCTCACTTGAATCCATCATCAGAGCCAGTGACAACCTCTGTTCCACCGTCCCGTGTTTTCTCTCTGTCCTCCTGTCCACCACCGACCGCCACCACTAACTCCAACGCTTCCGCCACCAGATGTATTCACTCTTCTACGGACCTTGTGTATATCGCTCGCAATGGTCGTCACGTACACTTTCCTGATCGGTTTATCACTCATTTCTTTTAGACCTGTACACATCCTTCGGCGTCGTTTTCGCCGTCCTCCGGTCTCGGAGGGGGGTATTGTGCCGAGACACCAGACTATCATTCCTTCCCCTACCTGTTTCTCATTCTTGAACTTACTGGTTGTTTAACTGAATGGAAGTAACATAGCACAACGTGACGCGCTCGGCATCTGTTGGATTGTCAGGTCGTTTGACCTTTGATTGTTAGTTCTTTCATACCTCTGGTCTTATCCTGATGTCCATAGTCTGGAATTGACAGTTTTGTCCTTAGCCCTCGCAACAAATGTACCGCCCGAATTGTTGATGGCGTTCGACGAAGAACCATCTAACCGCTGTCTATGCTCTTCCAAGAATCGTTCGAAGCAGGCTATTTGCTTGCCAATTGGAAATTTACACGGACCACACCACTTTATAAAGGCGGCAGCAAGGCCTTAGCAAACGACTACGGACCAATCGGCCTTACTTCATTTTGCTGCAAAATAATGGAACAAATAATCAAGCGGGGAATAACGTGCTTCCTAGGACAGCAAAATCCGCTATGCTGCGTCAAGCACGGATTCCGCGGAGGCCGACTGTGCGTGACAAACCTGCTCTATTGTTTAGAACGTTGGATCCGAGCAGTCGATGGCGAGAATGCAGTGCACGCAGTCTGCGTCGACTTTGAGAAAACATTCGACAGTGTACCATATCAGCCTCTCATGTAAAAATTAAGCCGAACAGGCACTAGACGTAATCTCCTGAGGTGGATTAAATGCTTCTTGATCGGTCTCTCTCAAATTGTCCACGTCGGTGAGAGGCAGTTAGCGGAGGTGACGGTTGAAAGTGGTGTTCATCAAGGCTCCGTTTTTGACCCAACTTTGTTCACTACATACGTCAACGATTGCGTCAGTGAACTGAATTGTCATGTTGCCACATTCACTGATGATACTAGGCTTTGCATCGTCATGCAAACTGAATTTGTCGAAAAGCGCTTGCAGGCAGACCTGACTCGACTCGAGAAATGGTCAGAGGACTGGTTTTTGCCGTTTAATGTGACTAAGTGCAACATTCTTCCAGTCGGTGGGACCCGATCTCCGGACGGCAGGGTTTATCATATAAATGGCGTACTATTGCAGGAGGTAGACACACAGGGAGAATTGAGCGTGTGGATCACGGCTTTACTTAAACCGTCGCTCCACTGCTCCAAGGTAGCCAAGTCCGCGATATCAGTCCTGTATTTTGTCAAGCGGGCGTTGTCTATCTTCGACGAGTACTGCTTCCCTTACTCTTTTGGACGTTAGTTCGCTATTCAAGCGCGGAAACCCTGAACCGCTAAAGACTAGCACCCTTGAGAGAGTTCAAACACAGGCAACCAAACTCGTTAATGGACAGAGATCACTACCCTATGAAACATGGTAATCCAATTTCCGCCTTTTTTCTCTGAATTACAGACAGCTAAATGGCGACCTGATACCATCATTCCGTATTATACGCGGTCAGGACTGCAGTCTTTTACCTGCTGACGTCTTTGATTTAGCAACTACAACGAATCGCCGAGGTCATCTACTTAAAATGCGTGTAACTGGCGCCAGGTTGGACATTCAGCAGTTTTTTTCAAACAGAGTGATTGATTATAGGAACGCTCTGCCTGCAGATATCGTAATGTTCACATCCGTCGAGGCGTTTAAGTGCAAGTTGGGTCATTATACCACCACATGCCATAATGTAACCCGACCGATATCGTCTTAGCGTTCGGATTCAACAGTTTATAATTGTTATAATACTACTGTCTGTATTTCAGCAACGTTTATTTCTCATTATATTATTATCCGAAGTCCGTTGAATGTAAGTGTTGGAATTTACTTCGTATCCCTCAGATAAATGAGATTCTGCCAATATTCTACGACACAACTAAACATAGACCGACTACTGTACAGCGCATTTTGTAATGTTAATCTTTTTAGCACTTGGAAAAAAATCGTTTATTTGTTTGGTCTCGAAAAATTTTCTGCTGCTGTTTGATGTTTCCATTCTCAAATTATTGATGTAGCTTGCCTCGCCATAACAAACAGGGAATTCAAAGGTTTAACTCCCATATTTCCCTCAAATAAAATGAACTAAACCCAGGGTTACAAAGTATTACTGGGATCAGTGTCTTAGTAGTCACCGTAGGAATGGCCCCAGAGACGCGAACTCGTGATTATGCTTCGCCGTAAGCGATCTGATTAAGAGATAGCACTGCATCTGCACATTATGATGAAGAATAAATAAAATAATATTACATAAGACCCATCGGGGTCCCATCACAGCAAGTAAAAATCAATTTTATTGGATTTTAGTGAAGGTAGTCAGAATCTGTACAATATGCAATCCACAGTTTCTGAATTAGTAGTCCGTTAGGAAATATGATGAGCGAGCAGTAAAAAAAGCACCGTAAATTAAACGAAATGATCGGATTGATTTTAAAGAAGAAAAAACTGTCGTTTATGAAAGGATAAGAGTGCGGGTAGGACCGGCCTGCATGTGGCGGTGTATAACGGATATCGTCTGGACAGAAATAAATGTCAGCCTTGAGGGGTAAATATGTCGGCCAGACAGGACCGTCCTGCATGGGGTATTGTATAAGGGATTCAAAACGGACGTCAGGGCAGAAGTTATACACCGGATGAGACTATTCGCGTCAAAGTGGCGAGAGGATAGGAACCCAGACGCGATCGGCCACAGTCCGCTTCGAGTTCAGCCGAGAAGTGGGCAAGGGAGGTAGGACCAGACTACTGGTATTCGACTAATACTGAGGGTTCCACCGTGAGCTTCAACAGACCGCTTGAGGTCGAAACGGGGAGAAGACATGAAGAATCGAGAAAATTGTCGCTTTGGGGGAGAAGTGACAGCAGTGGATTTAGAAACAAATTCAAAAAAGGGTTTCTTAAGATATAATTGAGGGTTTCCACTTGGTCTACCACTAAATCCCAGAAGGACCCTTCTGAAATCCAAGAAGCTGAGTGTTCGGGAATAAGACCGTTAAAAGTGTCTTTATACTTTCTGGTGTAACGTGTTTGCGAAATTTCTACTTGAATACCAGTAACTTAGGCGATGGCCTTTTTTCTGACGGAAGACAATTCCAACTCGTGTTTGGTGCCGTCATCCGACTTTTCGGTCATAACGCCAACCCCGCAAGGTGCGGCCGAAGATCCTACTAAACTCCTGCACCGTCTCGGGCAATTCGTGTGGACACTTTCCCCGGTTCCACCCAGGCCACCTATCTCAGAGTCTTACCTCGAGAAAGACCTGGCAACATACCCTCACGCCTATCTTCGATGTGGTAGAGTCCATCGGCCCCTGGAACCACCCTACGACGGCCCCTAACAGGTTATTTTTCGTGGGAGGAAGAAGTTCCGCATCCAACACGGAACCAATGCATGTACTGTCTCAAAGCTGCCGTCCCGACACTCCTTCGGATGAGACCTGTGGTCCTCAACACCCTGTTCCACCTTCCCAGCCCCCTATCCCTCCGTTCTGTGTACTCCCTCTTCCAACATGTCCGCAAGCCCCAACCGCAACTACCACCTTATTTACATCCAACGCTGTAACAGTAAACCATATTGACCTCTCACCTCTGCCTCCTGTATATGTAACACGTTGTTGACGTCATGTTCTTTCTCTTGACCATTTGATTACTCATGATATTTAGACGTGAACAATTCCTTCGGCGTCGTTACACGCCGGGGTTACTGTGGCAGTCTGCGCCTCCCTGATCTCTGCCGATTTGTCGCGCTGTTCTCCTGTCCGCCCCACACTCTCCGTCACTTCACTGCTGAGACGCGCGAGGCTTGTCACTGGCCTCGCGAGTGCTCGCGGCTTATCAACGATGCCCTTTCCCTGATTGCCTGGCGGACGCTGAGACAGCCAAAGGCGCACACATGCGCTGGTGTCTGAGCATCACAACGGCGGACACAGGCAACACAACTTGCCTTGAGAGACCGCTCACAGTGGCCGCTTGTAGAGCCTTTGTGTACAAACTTCCTCGGCAGTAAAAGTTGTCCAACCCAACCCGCCTTCCCTGACTTCTGAGTTATGAACTTCTGTCTTGTCCACCATACCCTCCCGACACGTCCACCGGCAGCGCACCTATTCCGCCGGTCAATAACGAGAAAGTCGGTGCCTGTATGGTTTTTGGGCACGTTTTTTACCTCTGGGCTGACTTGAAGGTACACCTCGCCTCAGAAGAGCATAAAGCCCGGATCGAGTCCGCGGCCCATCGTGCGGCAGAGCAGAAAACGGAAGCGGCTACTCGTCAGGCCTGCAGCTTGAACTTTAATACCGTAAGCTAAGTGAAGGCTAACCAAAGCCAGAAAAGTCAACTCGCTGCAATTACTTGCTAAGCTGCCTGTGCAATTTCTCGACTCAGTGGAGTTTGTCCAAGAATTCTGTCTTCCCTGACTTGCGATTTGAGAATCTTCGCGCTGTCCACCCTTTGAACTTCCGACCAACTGGTGAATTACACAGCATCCTGCCCCTTGTACTCCCTGGTATTTGCGCAGCACTGTATGAATGGACATTTCCCGGTCTTAAAAAACCTCGGAATTGGAACCTTCTTTAAAACCGAATGATACCCTTTATTTCAGTATAAGATTTGAGGGCGCAATCCCTTATAGCAAGGAGATGTGAATCTAGACTAAAGCCTCAGCCTCTAATATTGACTGCAATTTGATTGGTTCCCAGCGCCCCTGGTATTTGCATTACTAATAGCGCAAACGAATGCGCGCCTGATTATTGGCAATTCGATCGAACGAGGCGCTGACTTTCGCGATAGCGCTCGCACA